AAAGAGATGCTCTGGCCAAAACCAGAGCATCTCTTTTGGAGGACTGGCTCTGGGCACGGTCTGGAACCATGCCTTGCTCCGCTCTATTATGGAGTGTTTTTTTTAGACCCCTGGATATCCATTTTTTCGTTCCCGCACATGCCTCTTGTTCCGCCTCAAAGGGGTTTGAGGCGGGGCAAGAGGCATGTGCGTGCTTGTCTGGACGCAGTCCATAGGGTTAAGGCATGAAGCTATATATTTAAAACAATAAGTTGAATACAAATCATAATTATTTTAAATCCTAAAGTTCCATTTTAAAATGAAGTAATATATAAGCATGACTAAACAGCATTAGATCTCTTAAAGAGCCACTATGATGGGGTTCCCCCCTGGATATTTTCTCATCAGTCTATTCTGTTTCTCAGTACCCTTGACCTACATACATCAACAAAGGTATGTTAATATTTTTGTAGTCTCCTATTCCTGGAGCTCTGATTTCTGAATGTTAATTAAGCCTTTCAATGAAAAACAGTTTTATTAAAGAAAGTTATACTTGACTAGGAAGTTTCCTGCAGTCTTCCTTCATTGTAATTACTGGTTGATTAATTTCTGTCGGTTAAATCATGCCTTAGCTTATTCCATAAGTGGTAGCAGAGATGCTATATGGTATGCTCTCAGTTTATCAAACCATAAATACATCTCCAAATTCTAATATCTAAACATACAATATTGTTATCTTGAACAGACAGACTCTGGCCTGTTGAATTTTAACATAGTACTTGCATGTCCTGTGCAGGCAGTCAGGTGAGATGATCATAATGGTCTTTGTGGTTCTGCAAGCTCTGAGAATAATTAATGTGCTAATGCTTGATTGGCAGAATTTTTACTGGGGTGGGGGAGCAGAAATTTGAAACCTTCATAAATCCATTTTTTGTTAAAGATGTTTTGATACTTAGCACTGTGCCAGTCTAATAGGATTGCAGCAGCCTCAGTGACTTTAAATTTCCACTGTGTTTTCACTAAAGATGCATTGCTGAGAGCAAAATCCCTTAAAAGGGTATGTGGAAAGTGAGCATGTCAAGTAGGTTCTTCCTTCCCTTGGTTGCATGCCTCCCTAAAGGGCAGGTTTCCACTAAAGAGTGCTCATAGGGGAGCATGGAAATTGGGTCTCTTGATTAGCTTCTGGGAAGGACATATTTCTGAAAAAGGGAAGGGAGGGCAGTATGATTCCAAACCAGTGGCAGCAGTTGACTGATGCTGAAACATTGGGAGAAATAAGGGTAGCATTGGCCGCATGCAAAAAGATGGAGCACCTGTACACAAAGGATGCCGGGGAGAAGTTGTGCCTCTGTGAAGCTCAGGTCCTTCCCAAGTTTCCTCTAAAGTCATGTGACACTGCATTTACCGCAACTGATGAGCTGTGCCTAAATGGCCTAATTTCACCCTTTCTTGTCTATTACCATGCTGAGTAATAGAATTGAGCTGAAAGGGGAGAGTCATCCCTTTAGGCAGAGTTTTTCATTCCTAAATCAGTGAGTTCTTTGTTTAGTTTCTGCTTCCATTTTCTGCCCTCTCCTCTTCCGTTTTTCCAAATAGATTATTCTTATATGACCAATCTTGCCCTGGTAAATTCAGTACTGCGTAATTTTTCTCAAATGTATTGCATGAAAATATGCTCGAGGAGAAGTAAATCTGATTCTAGGATGAATCCTAGAGCCTTTGGACACAAAAATCCTAAAGCAGCCAATGGCAATTTTGCCTCAATAAGGGATGCAAATGATCCTTGATTTCCCCCTATAAATGTAGTAAACACCTATAGCAAACAGTGAAAAACCTGAAGAGATATTAAAGAAAATTGTAAAGCAATTTTCTGTATTTGTACTTTGGCCTCGTTACTATCTCGGCACGATTGTGATGGGTGCAATAGACATGTTG